AAAAAAAAAAAAAAAAAAAAACGTTTGATCTGTCAACGGCATGCGTGCGCATGAAATCATATTTACGCGTTGTTCAATCCACTCAGCTTTAAGACTGTTTTTCTCTGCGACCTCAAAAGAACAAAAAGAAAAAAAAAAAGAAGAAAAAATTCAATTTATCCCTATAGAGGTTGTATTGTTTATATGGATTGCCTTCATATCTGTTCCTTTCCACCCTGTTTCAAATTTTTCTCTAGTCCAAAAACAACCTTGCCCGCCCTCCCATATATTTTTATCCGCTGTCGCTGACGTGTCAAGGTCTTATTGCGCATGTCGAAGTTTTCAGAGAGCGCATGCGCAGTTGGTGCACACGGAAAAATCCAATATGGCGGAGTGTTAGTGGTATTGAGCGAATGCATTTTGTGAAAAATGTTTAAGAAGTTAAAACAAAAATTAGCGGAGGAATCAGACGGAGAGCAAAGCCCTCGGAGGCAAGCTCCAGGCGAGACACAGGTTTGATAAGCTACACGCGCGAATGCTTCCCTTGTGTGAAGTGTTGTTGAAGAAACAATGCCTTGTCAACTTTTTATGTTACGTGTACTTTATCGAGCGCAGGAAGATTAACTTGCACCTTGTGTTTAATAATTTAGTCCGTCAAAGGACCAGAGAGCAATGGAAGTACCACTGAAACTCCGTCGAACGCGGAAAGTGATCGTGGAAGTTCCCGAGGAAGTATCGCAAGTTCTCCATTGGCGACCTCTAACACACCGACGACTAAATCGAAATCCACACCACGGGAAGTTCTTGATCGTGTGTATAATCTTCTTGACGCCAAGGTATGGCTTAAATAACTCTCTGTCAGGCCTTCCGACGGCCATATCAGATGCTATCAAAAATTGTGCTCGTGTGATATGGTCAGTTGGTCAGAGCAATTCAATATTAACAGTATTAATTGAAACACCTGTATTTTTTATTTGATCTCGAGGCAGTCTCTGAAAGCTGTATATTTACATGCATCATAGTGTTTAATTTTTTCTCAGTTTCGGCTTGTTTGGTGGAACTGTAGAATTGTGTATGGTCACACAGTAATTATTTTAATTGATCTTTCGCGTATGGAATATTGTGTTTATGTATGCCAGCTTAATGTTGTTACATGTATTTTAATTTATCACATTTTCATACCAGTTTTATTTCTTCCCATTGTTTCAGAATTTGATAACATATATAAGACAATTGAGAATAACAACAAAACTGGTCTGAAAAATATTTACTGAATTTTAAGTGTTGGTAAATGTATTCTTGCTTGTTAGGAGTTGTACCTTACATGTGCAATTATTTGATATGCCAAATTGTTGTTTGTGTCAAAAGTGTTGGATTTTTTTCAGATGATGTGCACTATCTTCTATGGGCACATACTTGTATCAATGAATTTTTTATTTGACATCCATGTAAAAAGGAATTATGTTGAGGAAAAGGTTGTTGTTATTCATCGTGGTAGATGCAATAATAAAGTGTATTATCGTTTGTCTCACGATGTAGTCACTTGAGTTGTAGATCATGACATTTCAACTGCTTACTGCTAGTCTTCTTCAGGCGATAAGGTCGACTGATTGCAC